AGATGCTTGCACACAGTTGTCAGTAACAAAAATGCTCTTATTTTAGTCAGAGGTGGGAAAAAAGATGGCATGGAAATGGGCATACAACATGAGCTCAACTGTGTAAATATCCATTGCAAAGAAAAAGACCCAAGGAAATACACTGAAGCTCCAGCAGTGGTCATCTCTGGGCAGTGGCATGATTGACAACTGCCATTTCTCTTTTTTTGTTGTTGTTGAAGTTTCCAACCTTTCCAAAATGAGTGTTACATTTAAAATTAGAACGTTATTAAACTATATTAATATCTCTGAGGTGGTTGAATTACTTCATCTTCCAAAGCTCTGGGATTAGATGCAGCATTAAAATATCAAACCTTAATTCATTCAGCTTTCTTTTTCCCCAGAACATTTAAGCAAACGTATACCGAGGGTCTCTTCCTGAAACAGTGTGCTAGGGCATTATGGGGGCAAAAAGATGAGCAAGATGCAGGTGTGATCATCATAGAAATTTAGAGCTTGAGAACTGGTAAGTGTTTCCATCCACCAACAACAAACATTTCGAAAACAAATATTTCAAATACTACCATTTACAACAGCATCAAAAAACATCAGATACCTAGGAGTAAGTCTAACAAAAGATGTACAAGTCCCCACCCAGCAAACATTGAAAGAAATGTAAATGCCACGATGTTACAGTATTGTAAAGATGTCAGTTCTCTCCATATTTAGCTATAGATTTAGGTCAGTCTTGAAGTCATAGCAGGTATTTTTGTGGAAATGGAGAAGGTGATTTTTAAATTTATATGGAAATGTAAAGGGCCCAGAATAGCCAATATAGTAATGAAAAAACAGAAGGAAAGAAGTTGGAGGACTTACATTATCATATAGCAAGCTTTATTTTAAAGCTGCAGTAATCAAACAGTGTGGTATTGGCACAAAGGTAAAAAAATAGATCGGTGAGACTAGAGCATCCAGAAAGAGTTCCACATGTGTAGTCACCTGACAGTGACAAAGGTGACATTGCAGCGCAATGGAGAAATGAGGACCTTTTCAGTAAATGATGATGCGTCAACTAGATGTTCATATGGAAAAAATGAATTTTGGCCAATACCTCACACCATACACAAAAATCAGTTCTAGATGTACTCTAAGTCAAAATATGAAAGGGAAAACAGCTTGATACAAAAAACACTATCCAAGGGAAAGGCTGATAAATTGGACTATGTTAAGATTAAGAACTTCTGCTCGTCCAAAGACCACTCTAAAGAGAGTGGAAAGGGAAGCCACATCCAGAGAAAGTATTTGCCATGTGTATATCCAGTAAAGGATATGTGTTCAGAATATATAAAGAACTCCATCAAGTAAGTGAGAAAAAGGTACACTACCTAGTAAAACATCGGCAAAAGACTTGCACAGGCGCCTCTCAGAAGAAGATACTCAGATGGCCATAAACATTAGTCATGAGTCATCGTACGCTAGAACCCCAGTGCGACATCACCATCCACCCAGCAGAATGACTCCACTGAAAAAGGAAACAGACCACAAGTGTCAGAGAGGCCATGCCTCCCAGCCACTTGGCTGTGGGCCAGCTACTGCACATCCCTTGGTTGCTGTCCTGGCCATGGTCCCCAGGTTACTGCGAGTAAGAGGGTCAGGTGAAGCCCCTCACACAGAGGCAGGCACGTAGTCTTCTGCCACATGTGGCAGCTCCTAGAATCTTCTTTTTGGGACTTACTACCCTGCCCTTTCCCCTGGGTTTGTCTGTAAGGGCCTCCTCATGGTTACTAGCATTTTTTTCAGAGATTATTTGACGAAGGCAATGATGAAGAGAGCAACAACAATAGCTAGCACTTTTATCGTGCGTAGTAACTGCTGGGTTAGTTATCTATCTTTTTCCTTGTTTATTCCTCCGAACAATACCATAATAGGTAGGTACTAAAGTATTTATGGGAATACCTAAATATTGCTGCTCCCATTTTACAGGTGAGATAACTGAGGTGCACAGAGATTAAGTAACCTGCTCAAGATCCCCCAGCTAATACCAAACTTTCCACTTCCTGCTCTGGTTTCTCTGTCTCTTCCCGTAATTCCTGCCTTGAAGTCGTTTTTTCATGGCTGTTTAGATCCAGCCTGATCTCTCCTTTCTATGTTCCTGGAGTATTCCTTGTATAATTTAGTAATGATGTTAATAACGGCCCCCATCATAGCGACCACAATATAATAATAATAATAGTAGCAGCTAACCCTGTATCTGTTGAGTGCTTACTGTATGCCAGGCACCATGCTTGGCTCTTTCTATGTGTTATCACATTGAATCCCTGGAACACCCCAGAAGGAGGCCTTGACTGTTACAGAAGCTGAACTCCAGAGAGGTGAAGTGCCTCGTCCAAGGCCACGGTTAGGAAGTGGCAGGGCCAGGAATCAAGCCCAAGTCTGTCTGTCGGACTCCAAAAGCCTGGACTCTTCACTACCGCTCTGTGCCGCCACTTGCTGTGTTTGGCGTTTGGACCCTGACTCTGTTCAGTCTTGTATTCCCTGATCTAATTTATGTTTATGAAGACAGTCCCCCACCCTCCCCCCATTAGCATTTATTGAGCACCTACTGTGTACCAGACCATTTGGAGTATATTGGGGTCAGGATTAATAAGGCGATGTTTCTGACCTTGAGGAACTCAGGTCTAGTCAGGGAGGCAGATCATTACAAATCAGGGTGTCTGTGCAGCAGCAAACACATATGGGTACAGAGGTGCCAGACAGGAGAAGACAGACAAATCCACTCCAGCAGGAGGGTAGGAGGTTCTTTAAGGAAGGCTTCACCAAGAGATGCCTGAGCTGGGTTTTGACATATGAGTATGAGTTTGCTGGTTGGTCAGGGCATCAGGAAGGCACAGTGAATAGAAGTCTGGGCTGGTCTTAAAGATTTTAAACTCTCCTATCCCTATTGGGGGTCTTGGAGCAGACCCACTCACCCAGGTCGCTGTCTCCTACTGGGCCAGGAGTGGGATGTGGGATGCTAATGGGTGTGTCTTCTCCACAGAAGGAAACACCAGACTGGGAGAATCTGCCGCTCCCCACGCTGCCTGCAGTGCCTGTCACAGCAGGGCATGGGGCGTACTGTGGACTGTGTGGACAGTGTCACTGATGGCCACGGAGTGGGTGAGGCAGTGGCTTTGAAACTTCAGTGAGGGCTCGTTCAAAATGCAAATTTGGGGCCCTGCACCCAGGAGTCAGATTCCATGGGTCTGAGGTGGGGAGCTAGAATCTGTAATTTAAACAGGCAATTCTGATGCAGGAGGCCTGCGAACCACAGTTTGAAAAACTCTGCTCTTTGAGTCTTTTGGAGAAGATGCACTCGAGGTGAGATGGAGACATAGATTCATCCCAGGGTGGTTCCGTGCTGTGTAGTTACCTTATCACAGAGGGAAACTGGCCTCGCGCTCCCATGTGCAGCTCTGCCAGTAGATTTGGGCACAAATGGTGGAGATTTCTATTTTTGGAGAGCTGTTCTAGTTATTGCATATTAAAAGTTGCAAGCAATTTTAATTAAATTTATTAAATGATTAAATGACTGATTATACTGTGTCTTTAAAATATAACAAACAGGAACAATATTAATAAATAAAACTCAGCCCCCTAAAGCAGCAGATTGCTCCTTATTCTGTGCACGAGGTTCTCCCACTTTTTTTTTTTTATAATTTTATTTATTTATTTTCCCCCAAAGCCCCAGTAGATAGTTGTATGTCATAGCTGCACATCCTTCTAGTTGCTGTATGTGGGACGCGGCCTCAGCATGGCCGGAGAAGCGGCGCATTGGTGCGCGCCCAGGATCCGAACCCGGGCTGCCAGCAGCGGAGCACACACACTTAACTGCTAAGCCACGGGGCCAGCCCGAGGTTCTCCCTCTTTATATCCTAACCATTTTTAGAGATTTTCGATGGGATGATCCTATCTAATCTTTCCCTGCCTTGCTCTCAGCAGCCCCTGCCCCCAAACTGAAGGTGGCCATAAAAGAAGTCAGGAGGTGGCTTTTCCTGAGTCACTCCCTCTTGGTGTCCCTTTTTCCTTCCCAAGCCATATCAGCTGAGTTATCTCAGTCTCTGGGCTTGGGGACGGTCTCTTAAAAGCTGTGCCAGGCGGCACTCCCAGGGCATCCGGCCAGGCTACCGGTCCCCACACGGCTCAGGACTGGCCTCAGCAATTCTTTTGGTTGCTCGCACCGCCAGCAGAGGGCCTTGAGGACTGGACTGGGCCTATCTGTCTCTGCCCCCGGGGATGGCACAGATCTGGAGCAGCACAGGCCTTCCAGGCACATCTGGGTGGGTGAAATACAGTGCCACAGCCTCGCAAGCTCACTTAACTGTAATCTGTACTCAGTAAATACAAGTGGTGCCCTTGAACTGCAAGCCACCCAGTTCATTTGAGCCATCAGTTCTGATGTGTGTTCTGTACTTTATGGGGGATTATGGGCATTCCTAGGGCAATCTTGATTGCACGTGATTTGTGCCCCAGCCACTGGTTTTGGGACCCACCCTCCCTAATCTGTGACCACCTCTCTGAATGCCTGTATCAGCCTGGCTGCAGGTCTTATTTAGGCATTCGGCCTTGAGCTCTGTGTCTCCACTTGCTCCACTGGCACCAGACTCACCTGGGGAGGGAGTGAAAAGGCCCATGCCTGGTCTTCCCTCAGTTCTGCTGAATCTGAATCTCCGGGTGGGCTCCTGCAGCCCCCGCTTCATCCAGCTCTCCAGGAGATTCTCTTGCACACTGGAGTGAGGATGGCTGTCTTTAAGAGCTTGACGATTCTCTTGCCTCAGTTTGGGTTGGTGTGTCCCTGGTTATTTGACATTCCAAGCATTGTCTGCCATCTTTCTTGGGTGGTGAGTTATGACTCATCTGAATGGGAATTGTGCTAACCGAATCTGAAAAAGCACAGCCAAGTTGTCCCCCAAATGTTGCTAGAGGTCCTTGAACCTGGCTTGCATTTCAGTTGGTAATCTTTAATTTTCTTCCCTTTCTCTCAGGTATCTGTACCACGTTTTGACCAAAAACACCACAGTCACAGAACAGAACCGGAACCTGCTAGTGGAAACCATCCGTTCCATCACCGAGATCCTGATTTGGGGAGATCAGAATGACAGCTCCGTATTTGAGTAAGGGTTTCTAATGGTTTTCTGTTTTTTGATTCTTCTTCTTCCTTTGAATATTTTTCTAAATGTGTATCATGAGTCATCCCTGATGATGTCAGGATTTGATGCCAGTTGGGTCTTGCGCGGAGATCTATCTATATAAAATGTCCTTGAAACACTGTGGAAATGCAAGCTGAAAATGGGGAAGTTATGGAAATGAGTATCTTTAGAAAGTCTGAAAACATCATAGATGATTTTCCAAGTGGTGTCTGATTATCTTCCCGAAGGAAGGAGAAAATGTCCTGGGTAGTTAGATTCTAAGTGACCTGAAAGGCCCCGGGGGAGACACTGAGGGCTGACATATAGTGTCTTTCCTGGTGGGCAGGCACGGTGCCGAGCTCTCCATGAGATAATCCATCTCAGTCTCCCAGCTACCCCAGGTGGGGCCCTGTGGTTGTCCCCAGCTTTGCCTGGGGTCACAGAGTTGGTAAGTGGTGAAGCAGTGGCTCACACCCAGAGCCAATGAAGGGGTTTCTCCTCATCCTCGTACTTCCTAGATGAGCAATCTTAGGCCAACTTCCGTTTCCTCCTCTTTAAAGGAAAGCAAGTTCCCTGCCTCGTGCCTGGTACAGAGTAGGCACTCAAGAAATGTTAGCAAATGATAATTTAAAAACGTCTCCCTGTTGGACCATTAAAAAGCAAAGGCTGTAAACCATGAACTCCTTTCCCAGTAGACCTGTCTTAATGTCTGAGTGCAGAAGGATTCGGCTTATGACAACCACCAAACACAGATTTTATTTTTATATAAAATAATCTCAAGTTTAAGTATTGAGGCTACTTAAAAACCCATTTAAAATAAATAAAGGTGTTCCATTTCCAACCTGTCTTCTTATTAGATATCCTGATTTTCTGGATAGCTCTATATTTTCATCTGTAAGATTATCTAAGATAAAGTAGCAGAAAATGGAAACTCTTAGAAATGCAAACCTGTGGCACTGGCCGTGATCCCCAAAGGAGAATGTTGTAATAAAGTGAGGTGTTGCTTATAAACGGGACTAGCTTCCTTTAAGGATCCGTGGAGAATTTGTTGGCTGATTGGCTGGTTGGTATCTGTTTTTGGAAATGAGAAAGACCTTGGGGTTAAAGATTAGAAACTGTGTCCCCCTTTACTAGAAGGGACTTTCTTAGTCCATCTGTCATCTTGGAAAAACTACTGAGCTGTTTAGAGGCCCAGTGATTCTTAAATGGCTGCCCAACAGAATCCCCAAGAGAATTTGTTTTTAATACATTTTTTATTTCAGAATAATTTTAGATTTACAGAAAAGTTGTGAGGATAGTACAGAGAGTTCCCATATACCCCTCATCCTGCTGCCCCCATTGTTAATATCTTATATGACTAGGGTGCATTTGTCAAAACTGAAAAGCTAACATTGGTGCATTACTATCGAGTAAACTTCAGACCTGGTTTGGATTTCACCAGTTTTTCCATTAATATCCTCTTTCTGCCCTAGGATCCCAATCCAGGCTCCCACAGTGCGTTTAGTTGTCACGTCTCCCCAGTTTTCTCTGGTCTGTGGCAGTTTTTTAGTCTTCTCTTGTTTTCCATGACCTTGATCGTTTGAGAAGTACTGGCCAGGTGTCCTGTGGAATGTCCCCCAATCTAGGTTTCTCTGATGTTTTTCTCATGATTAGGCTGAGGGTTATGGGGAAGAACGCCACAGAGGTGAAGGGCCCTTCTCATCCCATCACATCAGCATTCATGATGTCCACATGATTCCTGGTGATGTTAACCTCATCACTTGGTTAAGGTGGTGTCTGCCAGGTTTTTCTACTATAAAGTTACTTTTTTCCCCTTTCCCTACCCTGTTCTTTGAAAGTGAGTCACTAAGTCTAGCCCACCTGTGGGCATAGGAATTAAGCTTCACCTTCTGGAAGGGGGCAGTATCTACATATATTCCTTGAAATTCTTCTGTGTGGAAGGTTTGTTTCTTCTCCCCATTTATTATTTATGCAATCATTTATTTATATCAATATGGAATCATGGATATTTATTTTATACTTTGGATTATAATCCAGTACTGTGTTATTTGCTTTATTGCTCAATTTGTTCCAGCTCCGGGCGTTGGGAGCTCTTTCAGGTTGGTTCCTGTGTCCCTTTGACACGCCCCCATCCTTTGTCTTTTGAGCACTCCCTGACTTTGTGGCACTATAAGATGCTCCAGGCTCATCTTCTATTTTCCCTGTCCCAGCCCTAGAATTCGTCATTTTTCCAAGGAGCCCCCCACTCCCCTAAGGAGTTTTAAAAAATCCAGGCTCTTGGACTTCACGCTAGACCTAGGGAATGGCTCCCTGGGCAGGGTCTAGGTCCAGGCATTTTAAAAAGTTCCTGAGTTGGTCACTGTGCCACAGTGAGCTTGTTGGGTGATACTTGGTAGATAAGGTAAACAGAATAAGTCAAATGATAGAAATATTCTAGGGGTCAGCATGAATGGCTCTCAGAATCAGAGTTGGCAAGGGTTTTAGGGGTCTTTGTTTAGGTCATTTGTTCATTCATTTACCCTTTCATGGATTCAGACAGAAGTTGTGCAGCCCGTGAGCCGGCCATGTGGAGCTGACAGCCGAGGGGGGAGAGACACCCAGAACTAAGTCAACCAGCAGACACACGTGACTGTGGGGGTTTCTGCCCACTGTCCCAAATGGGAGGTTATCTATTCTTAGCTTGAATACAGAGAATACATAACTAGAAACATCTCTTTCTTTCTTTCCAAAAGGGCATTAGAGGGTTTTGTCTCCTTTTCAAGACTAAAAGAGCCAACATGTACCCCCAAAAGTCAGTGCCCCCAGGCCGCATACAGACAGATGTCCTGTTCAGAACAAGAAAGCCTTCAAAAGCAGACACGGGGACTGCCTAGGGTCTCACCACCACGTTAGCACCTTCAGTTTCCTTCCAGTTCTTTTTCCCCAGATATGGAAGCTGCAAACTTGACAATTTGGAAAACCAAAACTGTTTTAAATTCAGTGTTTTCTTGCCCCTTTGTAGGGAATTCTAGTTGTTGTTGGTTAACACTCAAAGGTATGGAGAGGAAAGAAAAGAAGCTTAATAAGGAAAACTAAGGATATAAAATATTTGATGGAAAATGCTGCTTGTCGGTTTTATAAGCATAGATTACTATGTAATCATTTCGTAGGTAAAGATCTTTCACATTCTGTCACAAATCTAGTTCACTGCTTCCTGGCATCAGAACTGTTCTCTCATTCTGGGAAGAGAGCTCCAAAGGTTGCATGTTACCTGGTGGAAGAGGGGATCGTGGGAGCTGGATAGCACGGAAGCCGAGGCCGTGCAGTGGCATGATCTCACTGCTCCTTGGATGCCTTTGGGGAGGTACACACGTGTGCTGTGCATGTCACAGGAGGAGGATTTGGATTTCCACGTGTGGAAGCAAACCACTGACGCTTTCCCGTTCTCTCCCCAGCTTCTTCCTGGAGAAGAACATGTTTGTTTTCTTCTTGAACATCCTGCGGCAGAAATCCGGCCGCTACGTGTGTGTTCAGCTGCTGCAGACCTTGAACATCCTCTTTGAGAACATCAGTCACGAGACCTCACTTTGTAAGGACCATCCTCGACACCTGCCTCTGCACCGCTGAGCATCAGCAGCGTGTGGTTTGGCATGGTTTTCATGTTGTTTTTTGAATGTCTGTGCTTACCGTGTCTTAGTGTGCTTGGGCTGCTGTGACCAAGTACCCCAGACTGGGTGGCTTGGATAACAGGAATTTGTTTTCTGGAGGCTAGAAGTCCAAGATCAAGGTGCTGGCAGGGTTGGTTTCTGGTTTGCTATGGCTGCTTTCTCATTGTGTTCTCATGTGGTCTTTCCTTTGTGCACACACAGAGAGAGTTCTGGTGTCTCTTCCTTTTCTTGTAAGGACATCAGTCCTATTGGATTAGGGCCCCACCCTATGACCTCATTTAACTTTAATTACCTCCTTAAAGGCCCTGTCTCCAAACACCATCACATTAGGGGTTAGGGCTGCAACATAGGAATTTCGGGGCAAGCAGTTCACCTATAACACCAGGTTTATCCCTGCGTGGTGGACTCCTGTGAAGGGCTAAGAGAGAGCCCCTTCTGCTGAACGATTCCGGGGGTGTTTGCATTTCTTCTTCAGATTTGTTATTAAAAAGTTGGGGTCACTGAATAATGGGCCAATGACTAAACATTGGGAGCCGCATGTGAGGGAGAGCTCGGCTGAGGAGCATGCAGGGGCGTGGGCTTTGGGGCCTGGCTGGCCTGCTTCAGGCAGCTGCCCGCCTGGCGAGTGTGTGCCTTGGAGCTTGTTCCCTGCCCTCACTAAGCCCTGGGTTCTTCATCTGAAACCATCACCCTGAGAGGCAGGTGTGGTCGGTGTCCTCATGAACCCCCGGAGTGTCCGAGGCGCGGCCCAAAGTGACAGCTCTAGCAAGGCCTGAATTGAGAAGGGGTTTCAGCCCAGGTGAGTTAGCTCAGTGTCCTCGACTGGGGGTGATTGTGCCCCCAGCAGATGTTTGTCAATGTCTGGAGACATTCTTGGTGTGTTGCCTCCAGATGGGGGCGTGTTGCCACTGGCATCTAGTGGGTGAGGCCAGGGATGCTGCTGCACCTCCCACAATGCACAGGACAGCTCCTGCAGCAAAGGATCATCTGGCCCCAAATGTCCACAGTGCCGAGGGTAAGAAACCCCGGTCTAGCTTCTAATCCTTGGGGCTTGACCACGAGCTTTATTATCCCAAGATGACTACACCAAGGCCCAGGCCCTGTCCGCAGAAAGTAGGGAAGAGAAGACAAGTGACCGGATTTCTATGTTAAAGACAGGCTCTGGGTCCCCAAGGCAGGTTTGAAAAATGTTTCTGGTGGGTGGAAGGAGGTAGGGGAGGTATTGTTCCTCCTCAGGGGGAAGGAGAGAGAGGTCAGAGAGCTGCTGAATGGTGGCTCTCAGAAGCGGCCACTAGGTGGTGCTGCTGCCCCAGGTACTCTCCTTGCCCTTCCCGATGAATCTGAGTTGACAAATGTGAGTTGACTCACTCTCCTAAGTGGTTTCCCTTGTTATCAGTGTTTGTTACGCTGGATATGAATTGCATGCGGTTTCTGAAAACTCCGAGAGGGGAAGACCCAGCTCAGTGGCACAGGCCCTGGACTCAAGTCCCAGGTCCCAGGTCCCAGGCCTAGTTCTGCCACATACCCCCAACGTGGGCTCTGGGGAGTGAACTCTCCACCTTGCAGTTTCTGCATCTGTGAGGTGGGGATAATACCAGTACCTGGGGAATAGAGTAGTTCGAGGATTAAGTGTGACAGCAGGTGTGCAGAGCATAGCATGGAGTCTGGCGGATGGAAGCGTCCAGAAGAGCTGGTTTTATCATTGAATCCAGTGTTCCCCACAAGGTCTGTTCTCTGGTGACCCTTTCTAAGCCCAGCTAGCCACAGGGCTACAGGATTGAAGACAGGGGTTGGGACAATTAAAAATTCTGGGGTTTCTGGCTCACATGGCTTTTCTTGTACTGTGACTAAAAAGGGTGCCATGCTATAAGAAACCCAGGCAGCTGCCACTGGCTCTATGGGGAATTCACCAGAGCGCTTTTAGAAGCCCCACAAAAGCAGCAGAAATCACTGCCTTTTTCAGAACTTGGATTTATGGGAGGGGGATGAGAAGGATAGACGACTTTTGCTTTTATTTTTATTTTCTAATTATAGAAAGAAAATGTCCTCATTATAAAACAACAACGAAAAATGGAATATTACAAAAATAGAGAAAGCAAAAGTTCTGTAGAATCTCAGTTCAGTGGACACATGCTATTTTGCTGTTGGCTTCATTTTCTCCCAGCCTACCCACGTATGGGAGATTTTCATATTGTCCATTCATGCATCCCTAGTTGGGTTTAAGAGCTGCATCTTGCTGGGCCAAAGCTTCTTTAACCTGACCATGGGCATTTAGGTGGTTTCCGGATTTTCACTATTACAAGCAGCCATTTCATGAGTGCACCTGTTGCCTGTTGGGTTTGGTGACCTAAGTGAGAGAAGGCCCGAGAGACTGAGATTACTTACAGACTCCTGAGTTTATTAGAAAAGGATACCACAAAAAGTCGGCCACACAGTGAGGGGGTAGTAGAAAAATCCCAGCCGAATAATAGAGGCGCCTCTGCTGCCCCCATGGTGGCTCCCGCCACCCACGGAGTCATTACGTGGAGGCCCGGGAAAAGTCCCCGCTGGGGAATGATTGGAGCGTGTGGCTTTTCCAGCTCGAGATTGCAGCCGAGAGGCTCACGGTTGCACATCTGAAGCTGCCAGCATAGGCATCTGTGCCTCTGGTGGCCCAGAAGGCACTAACCAGTCACAATAGGGCTCAACATGACGTCCCAACTGTCCTTCTTCTGCCAGCCCATTCATCCCCAACCACAGCCACAGTGACAGGATGGAGAGGAAGTGCTCTAGGCCTCTGCATCACCTGGCTGCTTGTTGCAAGTTTAGATTCTGGGTGTGTAGATTGTGGGCTATTCAAAGAATGCAATACTATATAGCAAAAAGAAAAAAGGGTGAAGCACATGGATAACTCTCAGATGTGGTGATGCGTGAGAGGCCAGACGCAAGAGGCGTGCACACCGTGTGACTCCATGTCTATGAAGGTCCAGAACAGGCAAAGCGAGTCTATGGTGATAGAGTCAGACTAGGGGTTGCGTTTGGTGAGGGGGTCATGACCGGGCAGGGTGTGAGGGAGCCTTCTGAGGAGCTAGGAGTGTACGCTGCCTGATCTGGGTGGTGCTTACACAGCGTGTGTACTTGCAAAAATTCATCAAGCTGGACACCTAGGATTTGTGAGGTGTGTATGCGTCTATGTACATAGGTACGTGGACTTAAGGTTCACATGTGTATACATCTCCATGTGTGTCAGGCTGTACGCTTCAGATTTGTGATACGTGAAACCTCATTTGTAAACACAGTCAGATTCTTAGGACCCACCTCAGACCCACTGCCACCTCTGTTGGAGCAGGCTCTAGGATCTGCCTCAAGAATTGTTATAATCAGGAGATTTTGAAAACCATTCTAAGACTGCAGACTTCACGGCCTGTCTGCACAGCCTGCTCCGTGAACACTCAGTGTGCTTTTCTGAACGCAGTGGCCTTCCCAGAGAGCTGGCTTTGGAGGAGGGCCCGGCTGTGGCCCCTCTCACGGTCCCATGCTTCTGGATGGCTCTTTGTGTTGTTTTTGGTGACTGCAGCCTTTTTAGTAATACTTTGGCCTACGTTAGGTACCTCTTTGGCACCAAATAACTTAATGGTTTATTTCTGATTCACCCAAGAGCAGCAGTATTCAGTCCTGGGAATATGGTGGCAGAGATGAGGAATCCCCGGGTGATAGTAAGAAGAATGGCATCTAGCATCACTGAGTGCTGCCTTTGTGCCCCTCACCATCCTTGGTGATTTTTGTGCATTATCTCCTTTAATCCTCACAACAGCCTGTGAGGAAGGCACTGTCATTCTAGTTTTCAGACAAGGAAACTGGGGAGTGGGGAGGGTAGGTGACTTGCCAAGGTCACCCAGCTAGAAAGTGGCAGAGGCACATGTTCAAACCCAGTGCCTCTCAAACACGAGCGTGATGGGAAGCCCTGTCGGGCCACCCCCAGAGATCTGAGGTCGGGGCTGGGGCCCAAGATTATGCACATCTGACAAACTCCAGGTGCAGCTGTGCTGCCGGTCCGAGGACCAGACTTTGAGTAAGGAGAATCAGAACCACTCGGCTCCACTGCCTCCCGTGTCTGCCTGTAGGTGCAGGTGTTGATCCCGGTCTGCGTTTAGCCCTTTGTGGGGAGGCAGGCAGGATGATCAGAGCTCACAGACTGGCCGCCCAAGGACAGACAGTGAGGACAGCAGCGCCTGCTTTGCAGGCTGGCTGATAAGGACTCAGAGAACGTATCCGTTGGGCAAGGGCCCAACACTAAGATTTGGAACTGCGGGCCCACGGGCTGCAGCTGGGCTATAGACCTGTTTTTGATGGCCAGCACAGCTTTAAAAACGAGTTGATCTAGTGGCCGACGTTTCAAGATCAGGAGATGCAGCATTAAGATCTGTATTTTCCAGCTTCCCTTGCACGGTCGGAAGCTCTCGTTTCTGCAGGGGCCAGGGGCTGGGAGCTTGGAGGGGTGGCCATTCTCCAGTTGGCCCCAGTGCCCCCAGGCCTGCATCACCCAGTTTTCATTGTTGGCCCCCATTACTGCATGATATTAACACAGGCTTTGACATCAGACCTGAGTTCGAATCCGTCTTTGTGACTTACTGTCTCTGTGTCCTCAGGCAAATTAATCAACCTCTCTGAGCTTTTTTTTTTACTCATCCACAAAATGAGAGGAATGAGACCTACTGTGCAGTATTGTCGTGGTGATTAATTATAGTGTAAAGCGCTCAGCCTGGTCCTGGGCGTGGAGTGGAGGTTCAGCATGAAGTGGCTTTTATGAAATCATGTTGCTGTATAGGGAGAAAAAAGCCATGCGTAGCCCTTTGTGGCATTCAGGGATGACAGGGTGACTCTTGATGGCAAAACAGGGCAGCTTTTTATAAAATGCAGCACTTTTTACCCTCATCCGTGGGTGGAGTAAGAAACCGCCCACGCACCAACTCAGCTGCCCCACCCCCAGCTCTATGCTGAACTTTCCAGCAACGAAAGAACATGTTCAAGGGTTCTTTTCTATTTGGTGTGGGAGGGAGGGTGGCTTGGGCTTTTCTCTGGCATTGCTCTTGAACTTTCTAGTGGCTACGCAGAGTGGGTGATTCCTTTGCTGGTTAAAGGTTAAGGGGCTCCCTGTTAGCTTGGTCAGCCCCACTCACCCAGAAGCTTCACTGGGTCTAGTCCCTCCACAGGATCAGCTGCTCCCTACCCGACTTCTCTGCTGTCTCTCCTCCAGCATGAATTAACCTGTTTTCCTTTGTTTTTTCTCCCTCTAGATTATTTGCTCTCTAATAATTATGTAAATTCTATCATTGTCCATAAGTTTGACTTTTCCGATGAGGAGATTATGGCATATTATATATCGTTCCTGAAAACACTTTCGTTAAAACTCAACAACCACACTGTCCATTTCTTTTATAACGAGGTAAGTAACTGCCAGAGGGTGCGTTCGGGTGGGAAGCTGGCTGGGTAGAGCAGCACCGTCCGTCTGAGGGGCCTTGTGTCTGTTGACGAAGTACTTACACACTTGCTGTTTCCTGATTTTCATAGCAACTCTGTTTGACCTTGGCATGCTTAAAATTTTTTTTTATTTAATAAGTTACCTCTCTATTTTTAATGTAAAATTCGGTTTGTGCTACCTGAGAGTGTTATACTTGACAGGGAGGGGAAGTGCCTGGAAATTGACTTGGGCTCGTGTTGCCCCATGGGAAAAAACAGGAACTCCAGTCAGACCACAGCTTTCCCTGCTGTGTGCCCTGAGAGAAGTCCCAGTCCTCTGAGCCTCAGTTTCCTCATCTGAAAAATGGCGATGATAATATATACCTTGTAGGCTTTTCCAGAGATTGAGTGAAAGGAGATGATGTCCTCAAAGCACCTAGTGTGTACTTGGCTCCTTAAGATCGTAGCCATTGCTGTTCTTTACAAGCTAACGGTCCTTATATGCCTTGGGAGAATTACTAGCAACTTAAATAAATAAATTGCTGTTGTTCTCACAGTTAAAAAGAGCTTGAACAATAAGGTAAATTTATCTTACATACCAAAAGGTACAGAGGCCAGTTGTCCTGGGCCTGGTTCATCCTGTGTCTCATCAAGGACCCAGGCTTTTCCATTTTTCTGCTCTGCTGACCATACAGTTGGCTGCTGTCCTCAGGCTTGACTCCTCATGGTCTCGGAATGGCTGCATCAGCTCCAGACATCACATACTCACATGCCCCTGCCAAAAAACCTGATGAGATCACTTTCCTTCTTGTCCCTTTTTAATTTCCAAAAAACTCTTCTTTCCCAGAAGGCTCCCAGCAGACTTCGTCTATCTTACTGGTCAAATTGTGTCACATTTATTGCAGCACAGTGTGTCTGGAATTTGGGAGCAGCCTGGCAGGGCAGTTCTGGCTCAGTCTCCCATGAGGATACAGTCGTCTGAAGGCTGGATTAGGGTTGGAGGATCTGCTTCCAAGGTGGATCCCTTGTACGGCTGACCAGTCAGTGCTGGCCGTTGGCGGGAGGCCTCGGTTACATAGGCTTCTCCAGGGGCCATTGAGTGTCCTCACGGCTTGGTGGCTGGCTTCCCCTAGAACGAATGATCCAGGAGACCAAGGCAAGCTGTAATGCCTTTTATGACCCAGCCTCAGAACCACACACCATCACCTCTACCATATTCTTTAGGCCACACAGGCCAGCCCTGATTTGGTGTGGGAGAGGACGGCACAGTGTGTGAATACAGGAGGTGAGGATCACTGGGCCATCTTGGAGACCAGCGACCACAGAGCCACGTGCTGTTTGTGTAGTAGGTGTCTTCTGACTGGTGCTGCACAGCCTGTATTTGAAGTCAGACCAGAGTCCCAAACATATCATCTAAGTTTAGACAAAACCCATCTGGCTGTCCCCATATGATGTGGCAACAGTGGCTGAACCTTGATTTTTTTAGTCTAGATTAGTAGTGGGGAAGAGCTGGCCTCAGGAGAAGTGCTAGCTGCCAGCCACAAAATATGTGGCAGTTTGAAAAATTAACATTGTGTGGCCCAGTACCTGGTACTCATTAAATGTGCCCAGGGGCCAGATGGACGACATGAGCATCCTCCCAGAGGCTCTCAGGTGGAAGAAAACCCACCTGCCAAGTTCAGAACAGAGAGGGGCAGATTCTCCCTCCCCTCAGAGGCAGCTGGGCTCCTGTGCACCTGGCTGGGAGGGCAGAACCCTGGGATTCTAGGGCCAGAGTGATGCCTCTGGAAGAGCATCCTGCTGGTCCCCAGAGGAGTGGTGGAGCCTCCTTTTTGAGGTGGGCTTGGTTTCCTCTTTTTTGTGGGCCAGTACAGTAGCCACCGCCTGTTAAGGCTACATTTGACTTCTAGCACTCAAAATGGCATTGTCCTTTGAGGACAGTGTCACCTTGCTGGAGGTTGCTGGTTGCCTCTTCCCGCTGCCCTCACTGCCTGTGGGTGTCCTCAGAGCCTGATCTGGAGCCAGGTGGGAAAACTGGCCAGAAGAGGGCAGCAGAGCACGCCACTGTGCAGCTCTAGGCCCAGGTCCTGTGGTGCTTTTTTCTAAAGGCTCCGGCAGAGGAGTTCTGTGGTTCTGAATTGATTTGGTCTGTTCCAATGATCCCTTTTAAATGTCAGAGGATTCCCGAGACCCTCCTCCTCCAGGATAATGTTTAACCTTTTAATATTTCCAAATAGAGGAATAAATAATAGCCAAAAGAGATTCCGAATGTCGTTGACTTTATACTTGCCTTTGACTAGTTGAAGCAGCATCTAATAGTAACAGCTAGCATTACTACTGAGTGCTTGTTAGGTATTAGGCACCGGGGTAAGCACTGGGTCTGAAATAATTTCGTTTAATCCTAACCACCATGAAGTGGGAATTATCATCCCCATTTTATAGATGAAGAAACAGAGGCTTAGAAATATCACATCACACAGCTAAGAAGTGGTGGAACAGATCATGGACCCTGAAGGTCTGGCATCGTCTGGACCTTTCTCTATTTCTTCCATGGCCTCGCTTTCCCGTCCCTTCCCACATTCCCCGCTGGGAATGAACTGCTGGCTTAAAGTTCACGTGGGTAACGTTTTGTTTGTCTGTTTTTTGCCTTTCACTGAAGTTGCGAGTAGGATTCAGAAAACTAGGGTGGGGGCAGCCTGTCCTACCTTATGTTACTTATGATTTGTAACTCCTTTTTGATACATCTTTCGTTTCAGCACACTAATGACTTTGCCCTATACACAGAAGCCATCAAATTTTTCAATCATCCTGAAAGCATGGTTAGAATTGCTGTAAGAACCATAACTTTGAACGTTTACAAAGGTAAGTTTCCTTGTGAGCTCAGGCCTTAGCTGATTTCTAGCTTTACAGCTCGTGCTTGCTCCCACGAATGTATACATACAATTCTCTGGAGGTAACAGGGAGCTCATTTATTATAGCCGGGGTTGCGTGTCTCATGGAAGGCTTGTAATCAGTGAACATTTAGCTGGTCCCTTACGTAATTTTTGTACTGCTGCCTTCTCCGTGCACACTCAGTTCTGCATGTTAAAGTCTTACTCAGTGCTGATACACTGAAGTAGGACATAATGTCCTAAGAGAGGCCCAGCTGGGACTCGGAGCAGCCATGTGATAATTAGATAAAGCAAAGTTGTAAATGTTAGTAAAATATGCTTCAGTACAGCCGGGAGGTATGTTATCTTTGAATCACGTATGAGACCATTTCATGTCCAAACAGCAGGGGGCGGTATTGGATTCTCCATCGGCTGCAAAGCCCAACAAACTCCTCTTTTCTTTCAAGGATGTGCTTAATGCCCAAAACCTTGCCTCCAGGAGAAAGCCCTTCCACGGCTCCCTGCCCGCACTAGCACAAAGGCTGGCTGGACAGGAGTTCCCGACCTGGAATTGCCCTCCAAGGCAATGCCTTTTCTGCCTAACGCCGGGGTTGTTACCCCTGTATCCATCCCACCAGAGCTGGGACTCCATTTTCTGAAGGACCAAAGGGCTTTGACCTTCATGAGATTGGATGTTATTATCTGAGATGACTCCTACTTGGGAGGGGCCAGGACCTCCTCAGGACTCACTTCCGTCTAGTTCTGGGATGGTGTTAACTTGAAGAGCCTTTCTAAGAGCCCAGTGGGGCCCATGCAGGGGTGGCAAACTGAGGGCCTGAGAGCCGAATCCAGCCCTCAGACATGTTTTAATTGGCTTAGATATTTTTTGAAAAAATATGTAATTGTCAGTATTTAAAAATTGGGAGAGCTTGGGTAAAAATCTGGATTTCTGACTTGAAAATGTAGATTTGGCTATCCTGGGCCCACAGTCCTGCAGGGCACTGGTGAGCTGGTGTTGAGAAGCAGCTGCTGTCTTTGAGCTCGAGGCCCAGGCGCCCCACTTCACACGCTGGGCCTGCCGGCTGTGCTCACCGAGTCCCCGGCCAGCCTGGCGGGCTTCTGAGTTTGCGGCCTGGTCCAAGCTGTGGTTCTGCCGCCTCTTGCTCTCTGATTTCTCCTGCTCTCCTCTAACCTGTGTCTTTCAGTTTAGATGCCTCCTGCCCTAGCTCTCCACCCCTCTGAGCAGCTGTCTCCCCTTCCCAGGTCCTCACCCTGCTAACTGTTGTCTGTCTTTGCCTTTCCTCCAATGGCGATTCCCGTGTTCCTTATTCCAGTGTCATGTAAGTTACCAACTTCTAGTTTTCTGCTTCCTTAACTTATCCTGACATGTAAATACAGGAAACTTGCCAGAAAATGGCACAGTTTTCATTGTAGTCTAGCTAAACGCATTGTTAACACGGAGGCTTTCTAATGCACTATTAATGTTTAGCCCAATTAATTAATTTTATTAATTATCAAAATGGCATAAGAACTGCCTTGATGAGTATAATTTTATGAATAAGATAACCATTTTCAAGTATTTCCAGGAAAGACAGAAAAGATTCAGATTATAGCAGAAGGCTTTTTCATTGTGGATTTTTTTTTTTTTTTTTTTAATATCCCACAAGTTATTTTTGGTAGCTTGACTTTTTTTTCTCTTCTTTTGTGAATTTTCCCAGTGGATAACCAGGCCATGCTGCACTATATCCGAGATAAAACTGCTGTTCCTTACTTCTCCAATTTGGTCTGGTTCATCGGGAGCCATGTGATCGAACTTGATAACTGTGTACAGACTGATGAGGAGTAAGTGACCTCCCGGGGTGCTTATTAGGTAGACAGAGTCGTTAGGGGAGAATTCCATTTTCATCGAGAAAAAATAAGCACTAGAACAAAACTAGGTGGAATATGGACTTCCATACTCCAAAAGGTTCCACCCACCTTTCCGCTTTTTATAACAGTGGAAAGTTGGAAACAACTCAGATATCTCCCAGAGGGGAATAGGGTAAGTAAATTCAGTAAACCCATAGATGGAGTGCTGGGCAGCTGATAAAAAGATGAAAATGATCCGTCAGCTGGTGGATGGGTAGACAAATGTGGTAATTGCATACTGTGGAATAGTATTCAGCAATAAAAAGGAATGTAGTTCTGACACATGCTGCACCAGGGATGAACCTTGGAAGCATTGTGCTAAGTGAAAGAAGCCAGATGCAAAGGACCACATTGCATTTATATGAAATTCCCAGAACAGGCAAGTCCAGAGAAATAGTAGATTAGTGGTTTCCTAGGGCTGGAAGAGGGGGTTTGTGAGGGTAAATGGGAAGCAACTACCTCTGAGTATAGGGCTTTTTTAGGGGGAGGGGATAAAAATGTTCTAGAATTGATTATGATAATGCTTGGACAACTCTGTGAATGTACTAAAAACCATTAAACTGAATAATTTAAATGGGTGAATTTTATGGTGTGTGAATTATATCTCAGTAAATCTGTTAAAAAAAAAAATTAAGATGGTGTTTGGGGCCCTAGAGTGATGAATGTTCCAGAGCAGGGTTTCTCCCGCTCGGCACTATCAATCTTTTGAACCAGGTAATCCTTTGCTGTGGGGGCTGGTCTGTGCACTGGAGGGCATTTAGCAGCATCCCGTGCCTCCACCCGCTAGATGCCAGTAGCACCCCTTTTCCAGTTGTGACAACCACAATCCTCTCCAGACATTGCCAGATCTCTCCTTTAAGGCAAAAGCGCCATCGGCTGAGAACCACTGCCCCAGAGTGACAGCTTTGCACAGACCTGGTGAGAGGCACACCTAGGTGGGGTCAGGATGATAAAAGTGACCCAGGAAAGAGGTCTCCTAGAGGGAGGGGGGCTAGAGAGATAGGATAATAGCTCCGACATTGGGAAAGAAGCAAGGATGGGTGGATGGCAGATCTGACGGAGCATTTGGGAAAATAAGGCCCGTATGGATATGAACAGTCGTGGATGTGAAACATAATGAGGCAGTTAACTCCAGAAAGAACAAAAAGTTATATGAGGAAGGCCATGAGCTCCTAGTGCTCTCTTTGGCTCTGCGGTGAATGGTTATGACAGTGTCAACACCAGTTGCTGTGACTATCGGGGGAAGGGGCGGAGGGAACGCACAGAGTTCTGTCATAACAGGAGGTCGATACATAATATCTAGAATGGCTCAATCGCAAAATAGAGGTCCTCACAGGTTTTATAGAAATTTGGGAGGAACTATCCACAGAAACAACTAGAAGATGTATAAACTGCCTCCTCTGGAGAGTGGGCAGGGGCAAGGGAGGCTGGGGCAGGAGCTGCTAGATTTTATTACCAGCTTATCAGTACTATTTGATTTTTAAACCCATCTGCATACATTACTTTGATATTTTTTAAACTAAAGGTTTAAAAAGTCAAGTGCATTAACTATCCTACTAAAGAAAAATTTCCCCAGTATCATATTAAGTGGGGAAAAGCTTGCAAAACACTGTGTATAATGGTGCAGGGCTCAGGGGGGCTGTGGGATTATAGGTCCTCATCCTACCATTAGGCTTTACTGCATGTATTTGCTATAAATATTTACCAAATATCTTATTAAAGTATAATAAGGAATAATTATTGAAAATGACATAAAAGAAGCAAAATTGCTCCTGCTGTTACTCATATGGTTAGCTGGATAGATGTGTAACACCTGCATTTGGGGTATGACTATAGGGAGACATAGAAATGTGGAAAGACAGTCTGTCAGGTCACGAGTCGCAAAATACTCTGTTAGTGGTGGGACTTTGACTTCTTTTGCTTTTATTTTCTTTCATTTTCTGTGTTCTAAAATGACCATCTATTACTTGAATAATAATCATAATACAAATAGAACGTCTCGCCCTAGCTAGATTGCTCTTTGCTACAAAGACCTCTATGGGGGTGATGTTTTAGGGGTTGTTTTAGGGGTTCTGCCCTTGTCGAGTGTGAGGTTGACCCACCTGTGGGCCCCAACCCACGCACCCGTTGCATCAGTGCAAGGAGACAGAGACCTCCTGGGCCTGGGGCCGAGATATCACGGCCGTGCACCATGCCCCACATATGGTTGGGGCCAGTGGGTCGGATGCGGCTGCTGAGGCCTGCTTTTCTCTTCAGAAAAAAGGGAGCATTTTAATTAGTGAGAATTTATTGCTCCATTAATGCTGCTTATCTTGGGTGTCGGGATCTTGCCACATTGACTAGTGGCTGCTCTTGAGAAATGGCTTGCTAAGGGCTTAGCTAGTTTTTGTTCTGTTTACTCATTTTGCTTTGGGCTACGGTGGTGGTGATGGTGAGCCATACTAAGGCCTCCAGAGAGTAAGGTACCCCAGGAGTCCCCTAAAGTCGATTGCAGTGGACCTGCCTGTTTTCTCTTTGTGTATGCCACTGGTTGGGCCGGGATAGGTGCCTCCTGACGCTGGCCCAGGTATTTGTTGTGTGAGTGAAGCACCGGTGACCTCAGTCCAGCCATTGCTTCTGGGCCCAAGGGCTCTGAGCTTCGGCTTCCAGGCTGAGGTGTTGTTTTTCTTGGCAGGCACCGGAATCGGGGGAAACTGAGTGACCTGGTGGCTGAGCACCTGGACCACCTGCACTATCTCAACGACATCCTGATCATCAACTGTGAGTTCCTCAACGACGTGCTCACGGACCACCTGCTCAACAGGCTCTTCCTGCCCCTCTACGTGTACTCGCTGGAGAACCAGGACAAGGTGGGTCTGGGGCCTGGCCCCATTGCTCCTGTGGGCTGTGGCCATCTTCAGAAGAGGGAATGACAGTCACCGTGAATAGGACTGAGCTTTGCGAGGGACCAAGGCTTTGTGCCTGAGAGAGATTCCTTTCAAAGCACACTGGTTTTCCTTTCCTCTTATTTCCTAAAAGGGCGGGCATGCGGGTGGGAGAGACTGCGTATGCGTGTGCGTGTAGACTGTAAAAGTGAATGAGAAAAGAATACTGACGTCAGAGGGAAACAGGAAACCTCTACAGATTTAGGTTTTAGGTTTCTATGCATCCTTCTCTTGAGGTGTTCTCATCCCTGGTAACTTTTTCTGGTAGTTGCCAGAGCTAATTGATTTGGAGAAGATCCAGCCAGCCACAAAACTTGCACAGAATGGACGGGGAGGGATGGAGTGCACTTAGGAAAAGACCCCAGGGCGATGAGTGTCCACGGTTAGCAGCCTCAGCTCCCTTGTGGAGATGGTGCCTGTTAAAATGCACATCCCCAGGTGCCCTCTCCTCCCTCTCTGGGATTCTGGCTTGGTGGGTGTGTGGTGGACCAGGAGTCTGCATCTTTAACCTGCCCCCTAGGTGATTCTTAGTTCTCGAATCCCCCCATGAGAAATGCCACTTTGGGGAGGGGAGGCCTTCGCCCAGCCCCTCCCAGAGTTAAGGGGTAGAGGCCTTGGCAGGAGGCGGGAGAGCCCAGCTGGTTTGTCTGCAAGGGTTTCAGCCTCTGCAGATGTGTCCCAAGAGGATGTAGCTTTCTTTTTGGAGATGGAGCATGGAGATTCTTGCTAAAAATAAGTAAGTAAAAGAAAATTGCAACCCTAACTAGATCTACCAGAGGCAGCTCTGGGAGGCAGAGAGAAAGCATGGGAATTGGAGTTTTCAAGACCTGGGTTCAAATTCTGCCTCTTCCCTTTCTGCACTCTGCAGCCTCGGACAAGGCAGTTAACCTCCCTGAGCAAAATGAGGGCCCTGAAGATCCTCACGGGGTTGGTGTGAGATGGAGCTCACTACAGTTCAGTACAAATGAGGGGCTTTTCCGAGGCCCGAGTGCCCCAGCCTCTCTCTGCCTCCTGTTTTGAAAGCTCTTTCTGAGAACAGGCTTCCAGAGGGGGCCTCTCCTGCTGGGCTCTCTGTGCCCCAGCTGGGGGAAATTAACGTTCTTGGTAATTTAAGGAGCTATTTCTTCTCTTGGGTCCAGCCTCTAATCCGTGACTAATGGTGAAAGATTTCTCAGGTGGAAAAATAGTGGCCTCGAAAATGGTTTGAATGGGATTCGGTTGCAAATTTATTTTGCAGAGTGGACTTTTTACTAGCAGCAGGAAAGGACAGCCTCAGGGTCATGGAGGAAGTCAGGGGGACAGGGTGCCTCTCCTTCAGACAGATGGCTTTTGGCTTTATGTATCGTGTGCTGCTCCTGCGTGTGACCTGGACTTCTCTCTCTCTTTCCCCTCAACCTTCCCTAGGGAGGAGAACGACCGAAGATCAGCCTGCCAGTTTCTCTGTATCTCCTGTCGCAGGTATGTCTGATCATGCACCCATGTCCCCACCAGATTGGGGGTCCTTGGAGCACTGCTGCCTGTCAGAAGTTTCCCAGGCCATGTCACCCTGTCTTCTTTTTCAGTGTCCCCCATCTTGAAATAAAATAACAATAAAAGGAGAAGGGATTCTGTTTTCCAGACACTGAGATGAGGTGCTGTGTATCGTCTTCATGGTAGTGGATGGAAATTTAAGGAGAAATAAAAAATAAATCAAACCCACCATGTATGTAGTTGATTTTTACCATGGGGACTGAGGTTTCCAAAACAACCAAGGAGTGTTTTAAATACCCTGGAAATGTGGACTGCATGGGTCTTATGCATGGCATTTTGAAATAAGCCCCAGACTAGGACCCACTGTGTGCATACACATGGCAAGCTTGGTTTAACAAACTTCCACTAATGAGGCTGTTTTTTGAAGGCTTTTTTCATGGTTCTAGTTCCCAGATTACCTTCTAGAAGGTATCTTGTAGCAGACTTAGTTCCCAGATTTGTGTCTTGAGCCAGTTTGTCTGCCTCCCCCCTTAAGCAAGTGTGTTTCCTTCTTGTAATTATGTAATATTTACAAGAAGGGAAAAACTCCATGGTGACCCAGTTACATAACTTTGAAAATATTTTTATTACGAGCAGTCCAGACTCTCAGGCCACCTCACTCGACTGTCAAGTCGTCAGACGTTTGACCAGAGCTCTGTTCCCACTTCTGCAATGGCACAGGTATTTGTTTGCTTTGCTGAGAAAATGTCCTTCTAACTTGGTCCCTGGGCCGTTTCAAGTTTGAGGTGGGGCTGTCTCCGGTTGGCCTGAGAAGAGAGATGCAGACTTGGCCTCTTCCCAGCGCCTGGGCCAATCGGGGATCCGCACTTGGCGTGCTCAGCGTTCACCCTCAGAGTCCTGTGCTGGGGGCTCTGCTCAGAGCTCTGCACTGCTGCCGACTCCTTCTGAATGCCCCTCTGTGCAACGGAGCTCACTGCAAACCCCAGCCTCTCCTGGCACCTTTTTCCACTGCCTCATTACAAATCCGACAGCATCTCCTGCTTGGGATTGTGAGAGTCTGGCAGGACCTAAGCAGCCCAGATGCTCAGCCACAGGAATCCCGTGGAACGCAGCCTCAGGACCCTGCAGCTATTGAAGTGTTGCACGGGCAGGTCTCCTCCGAGGAGCACGGCTGCCCACCCCCACAGCTGGCACGTTAATGGAGAGGGGTCAGACCACACCTTTTCTCTGAGACCCCCTTTTCTCCTGTTTTCTTAGTGAAGGAGCAGCAGCTCTGGCCCCTAATTACTTGTTTTGGTATCTCACAAAAAACATAGCTTGTAATTTGGGGTTCCTCAGCTTGAGTAATGGAGCCCTCCCTCCCCTTAATTTTCATTTAGCTTTATCATAATGTTGCCTAAATGTGTGAAAACCTCGAACCCCATGTCCGTAAGCCCTACATCAAAGCATCCTTGTAAATTATTTTACAAACACAGCTACAAAACCAAGAAAATTCACATTAACAACATTAATTTAGTGTGACAGGGGATGCCGTCCTGCTGAAACTAAACTACCGCTCACAATGAGTGCTCACAATGAGTGCTCACAACGAGAGCATGGCATGCACAGGATGGCCCAGCTTTTCAAGTCCAGCCTGCATACGCTTCCACATACCATGCAGTGACTGGCTCTCCCCAGCTTCTCTCCATCCAGAGCCCAGGGAGGAATGGGCACCTGTGTGTCCACAGGCAGGAATCAGTGGCCTTTGTCTGGTGGGCCCTAATAGGTCCTCACTGAATGTTTGTGGACTGAATAAAAGAATGAATAAATGATCAGTTAAGGTCACATTCATACAAGGTGCACAATAGATATTTGTGGAATGAATGAACTCAGTGATTGGGGTTTTGTTTTGTGGTTGGGTGAAATGTGGCAGTAATTCAGCCATGATGAAGGTGAGAAAAATCAGCATCATCATCATTGCCAACATTTGAATGCCTGTTGCAGCCCTGGACATGAGTTAACTCATTTGATCATACTATATAGTCTCTATGATAGTTTCTCTCTGGTGTTTTAAAAACAGACGTGCCTTGGGGCCAGCCCAGTGGCTCAGTGGTTAAGTTCAGCACACTCTGCTTCAGCGGCCCAAGGTTTACACATTTGGATCCCAGGCACAGACCTACACCACTCATCAAGCCATGCTGTGGCAGCATCCCATATACAAAATATAGAGGAAGATGAGCACAGATGTTAGCTCAGGGCCACTCTTCCTCAAGCAGAAAGAGGAAGTTTGGCAACAGGTGTTAGCTCAGGGCCAATCTTCCTCACCAAAAAAAAAAAAACCACAAAAAACAGATGTTCCTTTTTTTAGGTAGGTACCACATTTGGCCATTCTGCCTGTACCTTTAATTTGAATTGTATTTATTTTTTTGAACAATATATTCACCCTATTCAAACAGTACAAAATGACATCTAGGGAAAAGTCTCCCTCTTACCCTTGTCCCCCAAGCACCTAGTCTCACTCCCCAGAGGCAGCCAGTGTTTCAGTTTCTGCCTTTACTTTTTTTTTTACATTATTTATATTTTTAATAAAAATTCTTTTTAAGTTAAAAAGGTCAAACAGGTGAAAACCAAGTTTCCTTTCTACTTTTGTTCGGTCTCCTGATTTCTATCCCCAGAGACAGCTATAGTTACAGGCGTTTCCTGTGACGTTCTCAGCCAGGGCTTCTCAGCTGAGGGCAATTTCACCTGCCCCCGAGCCCCAGATGTTGGGCAGTGTCTGGAGACATTTTTGGTTGTCATGACTGGAAAGGTGGTGCTACTAGCGTCTAGTGGCTAGAGGCCAGAGATGCTGCCAGATATCCTTCAGTGCACAGGACAGCCCCCTGCAACACAGAATTATGGCTGACAGTCGTGCCAGGGTGTAGAAACCCTGTTCCATGCGTATATAAGCAAATACAAATGTGTGCACACTCCCTTCTTCTGTAGAAATGGTAAATACATCCCACGCTGTGCTACACCCCTCTTGCCTTTGCATTTTAAAACAAAGAGGCAGGTGTGGCCAGGCCGTTTTGAATACCCTGATTCCTAAAGCCATTCCTCTAAATCTTGGGAACAGGGTGGGGTAGCAGGGCCAACCCAGACAGCCCAGCACCTTCTGATTCTGCTTCCTGGCATGACTAGGTCTGTCTCTAGCTCGTGTGGCTTTTCTTCCCCACAGTTTCCACACCTGCCAGTGCTGCCATGGAATCCTAGTGTGCTGTCGCTCACCACCGGGGTCAGAGGTCATTCCAGTGATGGAATCTCTGTGCAGCCGACCCTTTGCCAAGTCCTTAATTGGAACAAGGTTCACTGGCCCCTTCTTCCCGCACAACTAAAGGATTGGGCTGGTGCCCTCTAGTCTCGTCATAATCGAATTTGACACTGAAATGCCTGTGGAGAGGAAGGAGTGTGCTGATTTGGCTGCTCCTTTCCCACGTTGCTCCACTGTGGCCTGATTTGGCTTCACCCAGCCGTGAGGGACAGGCTCACTTCAATGCACGTCCTTCCACTGACGAGTAGCCAGCCAACTAGGCAACAGTCTGAATGAAGAATGGGCCAGCCCTCGAGGGAGAAAAGTGTAACTGGTTTCTCCTAAATGTGCCCCAGTCTTTGAATTTTGCATCACAGGGATTGCTGCTTAATACAGGTCTTTATAGCCCAGCCTAGTTGTTACAGATCAAGGAAGGAAAGTTGAAGGACCACACACTTTTAATGCAAATCCCATTTCTTTTTTCTCACCAGGTCTTCCTAATTATACATCATGCACCCCTGGTGAACTCGTTAGCTGAAGTCATCCTGAATGGTGATCTGTCTGAGATGTACGCTAAGACGGAACAGGACGTTCAGAGAAGTTGTGTAAGTTATTAGCATCTGGACTGTTTCCAGACGTTGATAAGAGGCCCTTGCTCATTTTGTTAATGTGTGTGTTTCTCTAAACCCAGAAACCAGCATTCTGCTTATACAGCAACGACGATGCATAAGCTGGTCTGGGATTCAGGGAACCTAATCAGAGTCTTGAAATGCATACCCAGGAAAATCTAGGTTTGGGTACTACGAGTGGATTTAATTGATCGTATGTTACTGAAATTGGAATTGTACCATTCTGGGCCTCAGATTGCCTATCTGTGAGACACTGTTATTGGGACAGAATGAGAAAATGCCTTGTCTAAGACACAGATAACTGCAGAGGATGGACAGGGAGCGTCTATGCATGGCGCAGGCCCCGTGTGAGCACAGTGGGGTGGTGGGGACTGTGGCAGATTGGAGAGCGTGTGTGTCCTCTCTGAGCAGCTGCTCTGCCACCTCTGACTGCAGTTGCTCTGCACAAATATGGATGCAGTGTTGCCTGCTTTCCTCATAGTTCCACAAAACCTGGAAATCTGCATTTTGATGCAAACTCTCCCAAGTTATCTCTGAACTGTGGCCCTACAGAGCATGTTTGTGATCTGCAGGAGCCTTGAAGTTGCATTTTGTGCTCTGCTAAAGGAAAACACCTGAGACCAGTGTTAGGGCTTCTCCAGAGCCTTTCCCAGCTTGGCCCCTGTGCCTTCCCCTCCTCCATCCTGCTCACATGTGCTGAGCTCCAGGCTGCCTTAGTCCTGGTGCAGCTTGCTCTTTCCCCAGCGTGCCCTGGGTGTCTGCCTCCGTGCTTCTGCCCTTACCATACCCACAGCCTGGAAGGCCCTTGCTCCTGGCTCCCTCTCATTGGAGATCTTACGTGCTCTAGGCTGTTTATGGCAGGCGTCTTGTCTGTCATTGTATCTGCTGCAGCACGGGCTCAGCATACGTGTCTGAGATGAGCACAGTGTTGGACAGAAAGGCTGTTTCATGAGGGCTCTCTGGCTCTGCAGCCAGGTTCTCAGGCAACAGGTGTCAGGTAAAAGGGCTGTGCTTGCCCTTGGCAGTAGCCTCTGTTGCTATATCCGAGTGGGTGGGTGGCATGTAATCGTGTAGTGTGAAAGGCCAGAACTGCATGGAGTAGAGTTACAAGAGTCCCCTGCCCTTCTGGTTTTTCTGGTGTACAGTGGCTTGGCTAGGCCGATTGAGGGAGCATTGGAGCCTCTGAAACGGTTCCCAGAAACTTTCTGTCCTTGGTGGTGGTGGCGTTAGTTCAGCTGAATTGAATGGGGCCTTTTCAATGGCCCCTGTCTGGCCTATCCCTTCTTTGATTCATTCAACAAGTATTTATTAAGCCCTTTCTTTGGATCAGGCGTTATGCTAGTTCTGGGGATATACAAAATCCTAAATAGTCTCTGTCACACTGGAGCTTTATAGTCCAGTAGGAGAGACAGACATTGATTAGATATACAAATAACTGTACTATCTCAAGTCCTGTGAGTGCTCTAAGGGAAGGAGTAGTGTTTGGTGAGAGAGTTTAACCCAGAGGTGATGAGAGTGACAAGTGTTGATCAGGAAAGATGCCCCTGAAGTTCTGTGTCATGACAACACACGGTCTAGAAAATGTGGGGCTGACTTGGTGTTTATGGAGCCAGAGATGCTTTTTTGCAACTTTCTTAAACTACCTTTTGCTGAATGAAGGCAACTAACAGAATGCCGAGTCCGCAGACTCGGCCGGGCCTCCCGGTCAGAGCTGCTGAGGACTCCGCCCTCCAGCGGGTCACCCGGGGCAAGTCATTTCACCCCATTTAGAAAAGAAGGAGAGCCATCCCTACTCTGGAGGGCTGAGGGGAGGATGGGAAGAAAATAGATTCAAAGTGACCATCAAGTGCCTGATAGGTTGCAGTCTGGCCCTCAAAGCTGCTTGGTTTGCTCTTCACAGTGTTTAAAAGAAAATTTTATGAATTGCCAGATGTAAAATTTTGGAAGTTTCACGTAGAAATCCAGATTTCAGGCTTGCTTTGAACAGTGAAAGGATCTGGTCTCGTTGTGCGTGTGTTCCTGCAGGAGGCTTCTCGGAGGAGTCTGCCCCCAGTGGACGAGGTGTGCGTTCCCGTCACATTTGCCCAGGCCCCTCCCAGCCTGCTGCTGACTCCTGCTACGTTTACCTTCATAACAAGTCGGAATGTATGAGGTCCCTTTGGACTTTCTTTTGTTGCATGATTTCCAGACCCCCAGCTCGCTCTAAGGCTTCGTCGCAGAATCTTCCCTCACTGCTGCAGTTAGACTTGGGGTTCCAAGAGATGAACCCAGAGATCATCGGGGCACTGGAGTTTGCAGGGTTTTTTCATTGAAATTGATTGGCATGCAGTTGTAAGAAATAATACAGAGCGATCCCTGTACCCTTTCCCTACTTTTCCCCCAGCGGTAACGTCTTGCAAAACTCTAGTACAGTAGCACAAGCAAGATATTGACAGTGATACGTGGGGTTTGCAATCTGAGCAAAACAAATTGCAGAAACTTCCTGGCGACCTCTCAGCTTAGGATACCTACTTTAGTTGAACCTTCTAATCAGAGGGAGCGTTTAGGAGACCTGTTCTTTCTCCCGGTGGCGCTTCTTCTGGTGATGAAGTTCCTGCCTCCCTGTGATAGACACACAGCCGCTTGTGGTGGTGGACGCCTGAACTGAAAATGAGATTCTTTTGAGTGTGGAAGGAATTGCCAGCCCAAGTGAAAGTGTCAGCTTTCTACTTCCGGTTATTACCTTTCCCTGCCTGTGAAATCGAAGTTGTTGCATTCTGATGACTGCAGTTGAAATTCGGGAAGAGTGGAGATGAATCTCATTTATGATTTGTTTGACAATAGTCCCGGCAAGATTTACCTTCCTTCCCTCTGAGCAAGAACAGTCTCCTATTGTTTCCTGCCTAACTCGGATGTGGTTTGATCGTACTTGTTTTAAGTTCTTGGTCTTTTTTAACCTACTTTCTCCTTCCCGTAATTTGTAGATAAGTTACTGGTATTGCTTCATTTTTACCAGCAGACCTTTCACAAAACCAAACCAAAATTGAAGAGAGAGAAGCAGAGGGGAGAGCAGAGTTATTTGAAAAGTCTGTAATTTAGGGTTAAGTTTAAAACACATCAGCATGGTTAGATAAATGTCTAATTGAAATTCATCTGTGCATTAAAATCATATGGTTCCTGCTAAGGGGTAATTCTTGCTGTAATTCTAATGCAGAGCAGATCGTGTTTCTCGTCGGGGGAAATAGAGTAAGAGAACACTAATTCTGAAACTGCTAACATCTCGTTATTTTGCAAAGTGAACATATAGATTAGATTATGGGATATGCATCATTACCTGTAGGTACTTTTTTTAAAAAGGGACTTTTTTCATCCTGGGTGTCTGGGGAATAGTTTCCTTAGTTTTTGCGTTCATTCATCCATTCCTTCAGCAGAGATGCAGTGGTGCACAGGAAGGATATGACCCCTGCCCTCACTGGGCTTCCCATCCCCTGCAAGGACAGGGGACTGTGTTGTGGAGATGCCTGCATCGCCTGTGCACATCTTGGGGTTTGCCAGAGATGCTCAGGGGGCACTCACTGCAGGGATGAATGACTGATGGGTGAACCGGTGGCAGGGTCACAAGGACTCTCGTGATGTTTTTAATGACTCTCAGAACAGAAATAGCCTCGGAGCCTGACCCTCACATGCCACCTTCTCTGCACAGAGCGAGGCTTTGGGGGAAGGCATGGTGGAGAGAGTTGCTCTGGGCGCTGCTCCACTTTCCTCCTTAAGGGGCAGTCAAGTGGAGGGGACTCTGGAGTCAGACTGCCTCAAAGCAGGGCTCCTCGTCTTGCTAGGTGTGTCCCAGCGCAAGTTAGCCCACCTCTCCGGCCTCAGTTTCCTCACCTCGCCAGTTAGGGTGACAAACATGGGTTTGCGAAGAGGATTCAGTGCAATGTCAAGTGCATATTCCAAAGCCTGGTACACATCAGGGCCTGAATTGTAGATGTTAGCATTGTAACGATCTTAGTTTCTGAGGCTGCGCAGCACCCCTGTGTTCCCGACTGCGGACCTCCCTTCTGGGGGCGATTAACATAGAAGCACATTTAGTGCACCCCTTGGGGAGGTGCCTCATGACCAGACACAAAGGCACAGAGGGCCAAGCGTTAGCAACAGTGACAACGATGACAGCACTAATAATAAACGCTGCCTGTTAATGGCAATGGGCTGAGCCCTCATGTGCATCCTGGGCCCTTCGACTCGGCCGGGCCCAGATTCAGTCTCTGGAAAGTGCAAATACTTAATAAGCTAACATGCATTCACTTGGTCGGCTGGCTGTGAATTCAGAAGGGGACTGAGAATTCTGGGGGCCGAATGGGCTTGTTAGTCCCAAAGTGAGGACATTCAGCCAGTTGGGGTGGTCTCCAGAAGATTCTCTGGGGATCCAAAAGAGTGAGCACACACCTAAAATGGTAGCTGCCAATTCTCGGTGTGACCCATGTCCTTCTAGGAGCTGGACCCTGTGCTAGCAGAACATTCCTTGTGGCATGTGGAGCCGACAGCTGAGAAAGTAACAGCCTGGCTTCTCTGGGTTGTTTGCAGAATCAGAGCATTAATCATTGGCTTGGGTCCCCTGGTCACTGCTCAGGGCTGTCTTTCCAACCAGGCTGGAATCAGATGGCAGCCAAGCCTCCCGAGTATGGAATGCCTCAGGCAGGATAGCCCCCCTTGCAGCCCGGATGAGAGTTCCCCAGCATCTTTCAGTGACCCTGACCTTACTCGTGACCCCTGGTTAATCAATGCTGGTTCTGAAGCACACACATTCTTCTTCCTGAAAGTGGTGATAGGCTTCTGGGGGAGGGTTGATTGTGAACACCGAAGGAAAAAAATAGACTACTATAAATCAAGAGCCTTAATTGGCACAGTTGCAGACATTCCCACAGAAGGATTAGAACTCGTTGTGTATTCTCCCTTTTCGCCGGGCCATTGTGGTCTATCCTGTAATTGCTCAGCAGACT